CTCCTCCTCCTCCTCCTCCTCCTCCTCTCCACAAACCCCACTCCCTTCTAGCACTGATGATGTTACCTAGTTGGGTAATAAACATCTGCAAGAAAGCTACCAAGCTCAGAGAGCACCAAGGAACCCACAGTCCTCCTCCTCCTCTCCACAAACCCCACTCCCTTCTAGCACTGATAATGTTACCTAGTTGGGTAATGAAACGTCTGCAAGAAAGCCACCAAGCTTTCCTGGGAGCACCCAGGACCCCTCATTCCAACCCTGAGCTAGAAAGATTCTCCTTTTTCAAAACGGGTGCCCCTTCTGTTCACTTCAGCTCTCGCAGTCCGGGAACCAGGGATTGGGGACGATGGGTGGGGTGGGGGAGCCGCCTTCCCAGAACCTCCAGCGCCACCCCCTCCTTCCCCCCCTTCCATCTCACCTTCTCTCCCCCTCTTCCCTTTCCCAGATTGAAGAGGAGTTGGCCGCCTTGCAGAAGGAGCGTAGCGAGAAGATCAAGGTTCTGTTGGAAAGACAGGAGCGGGAGATTGAAACTTTTGATATGGAGAGTTTACGGATGGGATTTGGAAACTTGGTGACATTAGAATTCCCCAAGGAGGACTATAGATGAGATTCGATTCCTTTGGCCCTTTTCCAAAACGAAACCGAGCAAAAATGCCAACCAAGCAAGAAGTATGTTCTCAAACCAACATTCCCCCCAGTCCGTCCCCAAGTTATTGGCCGTGCTCTCTCTCTTTCTCTCTCTTAACTGACATCACGTCGGACTTAGTGCCTGTATAATTTGAGTCCATCAGGGCCTCCCACCTTCCCACCGAGTGTCTCTTTTGGAGCTGGACCATGCTTGGCTGTCTCTGGAAACTCATAACGTCTCACAACGCCAATGTCTCTGTGCGAGCAATTTCGATTTTTCTTTTCTTTTTCTTTTTCTTTTCTTTTTTTTTTCTTCCCGATTAACCTTTCGGTGCAAACCTTGGAGACCGTGCTAATGAATCCAACCGAACAAATCAACGACCACAAACAAACAAAAAATGAAGTTCGTTGGCTTTCTGGGCAAGCAAACTCCTCAATGGAAACACAAGCAAAAAAAAAAAGAAGAAGGAACAAGCCAGAAAAATGCCAACGCAACCCAAAAAAAACCCTCCGAAACAAAAAAAACATCTCTCTTCTTTTTCTTTTTGTTTTGTTCCAGAAAAAATAACATTAAAAAGAAAGAAACAGAAGCGTTCCGCTTTTCCCCAGAGAAGGGGATATGTATATATATATATATATTCAAAATTTTGTGGCTTAAAGGGAGACTAGCATGGCTATTTCAAGCTCTTTAGCTGTCTTGAAATAGCTATACTAGTCTCCCTTTAACTCTTTGTCAGCCGCAAAATTTTGAATTTACAGTGTATAAATATATATATATACGCGGATCTCGCAGCCTTACTTTAATCTGCTGCTCCATCGCTTTTTTTTTTACTTTTCTAATTTTGTTACCTGTTTCTTTTTTTTTCTTTTTTCTTTTTCTTTCGGTCTTGATTCATCAGGAAGAAAGAAATTTCCGTGGAAATAATAAACCATTTTAAAGAAGAGCTCAAGAAATTTGATAACCTTTTGCAGAAAAAAACACAAAAAAACCCCAACACACACAAAATGACGAATTCTGAATTGTGGTGTACATATCATTGGTGGGCATTTCTTCGCGGGTGGGGAGGAAGGGTGGGGGGGAGGTTGGAAAGAGGGAGAGCGTGAATCTTTTTTTTTTTTAATTTAATTTAATTTTTATTTTTTGGAAAGGGCAAGGCCGGGCCAGTGGGGTGGGTGTGGGCGTACAGTTTGGCCTTCGCCTTTGGCACATTCTTGATTGTATCATAAATCATTTTCTGCTGTTGCAGAGGATGTGAATACACTTAAAAAAAATAAAAAATAAAATTTAAAAAAATAAAAAATAAAAAAAAGAAGAAGGAGGCCAGAGGATTCCCAGAGCACAAATTGGGCCTTCTCAAAATTGTGTATTTTGTGTATAGAAGGAAATTTAAGGAGAAATTTACTTATTTTCATATTGTATTTTAACTGTTTCTCTGATCAGAAGTTTTTTTACTACCTGCCTCCCCGTCCCTCGATCCCATTCCAAGCCACGCCGACCCTTCTCCTCCCCGACTCTCCCCCCCTCCCGCCTCTTTTTCCAAGTCAATCTTTGGAGTTGAACACTGTCTATCAAATCACATCACCTTGACCCTTTCCTTCCCCATCTTGCTCTCTTCCTGGTCCTTGACCTTTGCCCCCCCCCCCACGTCCTCTCCTTCTTTCCCATCCCCGATAATCTTGGTCATAAATATTGCATTATTCACTCTTTCAAACTGTGTATTTTCTTACAATAAAAGCGGTTTAAAAAAGGTCTTTTCTTTGGCATGCCTTTTAAAAAGCACACCGGCAGACGCACACCCAAGAGGTTTTTGCCGAGCCGAGCCGAAACCAAACCCGGGGCCGTCGTCGGCATTTTTAATGGACATTTGCAAATAAAATTGTTGCCCTTGAAGCTTGCGGTCTCTTTGGGGTTAGGGTTTCTTGCTTGAGCTGGGCGTTGGACTAGAAGACCTCCAAAGTCCCTTCCAGATCTGTGATTCTGTTCTTTGTAGCCGAGGAGAGCCATTGGGGCCATCTCTAGCCATCACCCCACTCCAGCTCTTAGCCCTGTGATGGAAGATGGCAGGACTTCCTAGTTTGCTTTCATCCCACGTGCTACAGTGGTGGGGTCTACGACAGCTTGCCACAGGACAACTCTCTGTAGCCAACTTGCCACAGGACAACTGGCTGTAGGAGCAAGAGTTAACGCTACGATCAAAGAAATAGTGGACTAGAATCATGAAAGAAAGGATGCCAAAGGAGGGAGACAACAAAATGTGGCTGGCAAAGATTAAAATATTTTTTTCTATTGTTTTAATTAATTGAATTGAATTGTTGAATCGTCCCACTGCAAGTTGACTGGGGTGAGTTGTCCCATTCCGACAAGAGGTGTGGGTTCTGACAATCCACAGTGTCACTCTTTTGCTCAGGACTCTGCATGTCAAACCCATTCAGAAAGTAGCGGGCAGGGCTGTGATCACGAAAGTCCTGGCGTGCACATTATGTTGAACCCTGATGGGCAGGTTCAGAGGCATCCCACCAAGCCAACATTGTTACGCAAGCATCAGGCACAGCATCCTCTTTCCTGACTAGAAAAGTAGGGGGAGACCCCCCCAGAGCGGCTTGTCGGAGTGACAGGTCATTCGTGATTTCAAAACAATTTTTAAAAAAATGTCGATTTAACTTAAGCTAGTCCACCCGGCTGACTCATTCTTCATTCATTTAATAATTCCATCTGTCACATTGAGCATTGCAAGGGCCCAGGGCTTATGCACCACAGCAACGGTCCGTGCGCAGCTGTGTGCGGACTCGAGCTTCATTGGTGCCACATTAAATGACCTTTTGGGGGGTCAACATTTTGAATGGCTTTAACTGAAGATGAGTGCAAGTTGTAAGTTCATTGTGTACTTTGCCCATGGATTAACGTTTCTGGAGGTTTTTAAGAAGAGATTAGACAGCAACTTGTCTGGAATGGTCTAGGGCCGTGGTGGCGAACCTGTGGCACGCGTGCCAGCGGTTCGCCACCACCGGCTTAGGGTTAGGTTACCATAAACTCATAGAGCAAAATGGACATTGGCAACAAACACGGAGTGCTTGGGTCTGGTTAGGAGGGTGCTGACTTTTCTAGGCTGCCCTATCTATGTTTCCTGGTAAAATACATGGGAAAATCCCATTGGAAGAAAATTCCATTTAGGGTTAGGCTTAGATCACCATGAATTCGGAGAGCAAAATGGACATTGCCAACAAATTTGGAGTGCTTGATAATGTCCATTTTGCTCTCCGAGTTCATGGTGACCTAACCCTAAGTGGAATTTTCCCCCAATGGGATTTTACCTGGAAACATAGATAGGGAAGGCTAGGAAGGTCAGTGCCCTCCTAACCATACCCAAGCACTCCGAGTTTGTTGGCGATGTCCATTTTGCTCTATGACTTCATGGTGACCTAACCCTAACCCTAAGTGGAATTTTCCCCCAATGGGATTTTCCCATGTATTTTACCAGGAAACATAGATAGGGCAGGCTAGGAAGGTCAGTGCCCTCCTAACCATACCCAAGCACTCCGAGTTTGTTGGCGATGTCCATTTTGCTCTATGAGTTCATGGTGACCTAACCCTAACCCTAAGTGGAATTTTCCTCCTATGGGATTTTCCCATGTATTTTACCAGGAAAC